CTGCCAGCTGTTCAGAACAGCTGGCGGTTCTCAGGGGAAGAAGGGGGAGTCTGCATGCTCTCCCACCCCAATCAGGGTCTGGGTGGAAAAACAGAAGTGTCTGGCCCTGTCCCATGCTCTTGAGAACCTGCCCTTCCGGGGTGGCACAGGGGCACTTCAAAAATTTCTGAAGTGACTCCCCCTTGTGAAAAATTATTGCTCACCCCGGGCTAGTCGCATCCCCCCAGGTGCCCCCGAAGGGGGAGTCTGCATGCTCTCCCACCCCAATCAGGGTCTGGGTGGAAAAACAGAAGTGTCTGGCCCTGTCCCATGCTCTTGAGAACCTGCCCTTCCGGGGTGGCACAGGGGCACTTCAAAAATTTCTGAAGTGACTCCCCCTTGTGAAAAATTATTGCTCACCCCGGGCTAGTCGCATCCCCCCAGGTGCCCCCCCGCATTTTACAGCGCACGGAAGCCGGCACACAGACACTGGGTCAGTCCCTGCTCCAAGGGTCTTTTAGTAAGAGACTTCCCTGTACTGTAAAATGCAGAGTAGCTGCAGAGAGCAGAGAGGGTTGTATGCTGAGTGGTAAGAGACCCACAGGAGCAGGGACTGACCCAGCATCACCGCACGCTGGCTTCCCTGTGCTGTAAAACGCAGAGTGGCACCTAGGGAGGTTATGCTGTGAACTGGTGAGAGCCAGACTATACTGTGGAACTCCCTACCCTCATCGACTAATTAGTAGATTTTTTTTTTTAAAATCGATCAACTACTGAATTAGTAAATTAATCCCATTTAACATCCCTAGTCTTCACTTGTTCCAAAAAGCATTTTAAACTCTTGAGGCTTATTACTATTATTTCGAGCTCCCCATCTACCTTTACTGTCTTCTCATGAAGAGCATAATCACTCATCCAGCTATAGTTGACAAGGCATCATACTTCAGATAATAAATAGTTCCCCTTACATAATGCTAAACAAAAGCTATCGTAACAGTTGTGTATATTTTAATGTACATTATGGAAAGTTTCTCAATAGGCTTTCTAGCCAAGCTGCTGCTCTCAATTCACTTACCATTTACAGCTTTTTCTATCAATTCTTCACAAGCATCAAAGTCTCCTTTCAGCACTAGCTTGTCGTGCAAGTCTGTCAACATTGGGTGCTCTAGCGCAATCTTGGTTTTCTTCTGCAGCGATTCAAAAGCCTCAGTGTAGTTGTGCTGGCGAAAATGCTTTAGACAGAGACGAATGGCTTCCTGTTCACGGTACTACTGGAACACAAGAAAATCTATGAGAAGGGTACATTTCCCTGGTTGGTACTGGCAGGAATTTCTCACAAATTTGTTGGGATGACAAGGAAGTGGAAACTCTCATACATATTGCATATATTAACTGTTCATAGCCTACAAAGCTATGCTAAATGTAATAAACTTTGCATGGCATCTGCCTTTCAAGAGATTAGACAGAACTTTGTGCTGTTTAAGATAATTTAATTCAATACAGTTAAAATATTTGATTGCACACTTCACCACAGTATCAAATCTTTACACACTGACATTCCTTTATCATCTTTTTGGTCCTGCTGCTGAATTTTACATGAAAATGAGAAGTGGAAAAAACCCTTCACTTCTGAAGTTATGTAAGCATCATACAATCATAAATTATATAACAAAATACTTTAGAACAGTAAGTAGGTCACAGCTCCTCTAAGAGAGAAAGAGCATAAGGAAAGAATATTAAACACACAATGACCATTAATCACTATTACTTGAAAACAGAAAAAGCTTGAAAACCCATAGCATCGAAAGCCCAGATGTCTAGCATATAGGGCATCACCACTATAAGTCGCCCCGTCGTTGACGCTTGTATGAACTGATGCATTCCCCACTCTTACAACATGCCAAACAAAAACAAAACAAAACCACACCCAGAATTTGTGCAAATGGAAGTCAGCTACAGGAAAAAAATTTCCCGCTTTACGTTGTTTCACTATACATCCATGTTAGAACATAGGAACATAAGAACGGCCGTACTGGGTCAGACCAAAAGTCCATCTAGCCCAGTATCCTGTCTACTGACAGAGGCCAGCACCAGGTACCCCAGAGAGGGTTGACCGAAGACAATGATCAAGTGATTTGTCTCCTGCCATCCCTCTCCAGCCTCTGACAAACAGAGGCCAAGGACACCATTTTATCCCCTGGCTAATAGCCTTTTATGGACCTAACCTCCATGAATTTATCCAGCTTCTCTTTAAACTCTATTATAGTCCTAGCCTTCACCGCCTCCTCTGGCAAGGAGTTCCACAGGTTGACAACACGCTGTGTGAAGAAGAACTTCCTTTTATTAGTTTTAAACCTACTACCCATTAATTTCATTTGGTGTCCTCTAGTTCTTCTATTATGGGAACTAATAAATAACTTTTCTTTATCAGCCCTCTCCACACCACTCATGATTTTATAGACCTCTATCATATCCCCCCTCAGTCTCCTCTTTTCTAAACTGAAAAGTCCCAGTCGCTTTAACCTCTCCTCATATGGGACCCGTTCCAAACCCCTAATCATTTTAGTTGCCCTTTTCTGAACCCTTTCCAAGGCCAAAATATCTTTTTTGAGGTGAGGAGACCACATCTGTACACAGTATTCAAGATGTGGGCGTACCATAGTTTTATACAGGGGCAGTAAGATATTCTGGGTCTTATTTTCTATCCCTTTCCTAATAATTCCTAGCATCCTATTTGCCTTTTTGACCACCGCTGCACACTGTGTGGAAGTTTTCAGAGAACTGTCCATGATAACTCCAAGATCTCTTTCCTGATTTGTCGTAGCCAAATTAGCCCCCATCATACTGTACGTATAGTTGGGGTTATTTTTCCCGATGTGCATTACTTTACACTTATCCACATTAAATTTCATTTGCCATTTTGTTGCCCAATCACTCAGTTTGGTGAGATCTTCTTGGAGTCCCTCACAGTCTGCTTCTGTCTTGACTATCCTAAACAGTTTGGTATCATCTGCAAACTTTACTACCTCACTGCTTACCCCTTTCTCCAGATCATTTATGAATAAGTTGAAAAGGATTGGTCCCAGGACTGACCCTTGGGGTACACCACTAGTTACCCCTCTCCAATCTGAAAATTTACCATTTATTCCTACCCTTTGTTTCCTGTCTTTTAACCAGTTCTCAATCCAAGAAAGGACCTTCCCTCTTATCCCATGGCCATGTAATTTACACAAGAGCCTTTGGTGAGGGACCTTGTCAAAGGCTTTCTGAAAATCCAAGTATACTATATCTACTGGATCCCCCTTGTCCGCATGTTTGTTAACCCCTTCAAAGAACTCTAATAGATTAGTAAGACAGGATTTCCCTTTACAGAAACCATGTTGACTTTTGTCCAACAAATTATGTTCTTCTACATGCTTCACAATTTTATTCTTTACTATTGTTTCGACTAATTTGCCCGGTACTGAAGTTAGACTTACCGGTCTGTAATTGCCAGGATCGCCTCTAGAGCCCCTTTTAAATATTGGTGTCACGTTGGCTACCTTCCAGTCATTAGGTACAGAAGCTGATTTAAAGGATAGGTTACAAACCACAGATAATAGCTCAGCAATTTCCCATTTAAGTTCTTTTAGAACCCTTGGATGAATGCCATCCGGTCCCAGAGATTTGTTAACATTAAGTTTTTCTATTTGTTCCAAAACCTCCTCTAATGACACTTCAATCCCCTTTTATAGCTCGATCTAGGGGACCCACAGGCTTTTTAGCAGGCTTCCTGCTTCTAATGTACTTAAACATTTTGTTATTTCTTTTTGAGTTTTTGGCTAGCTGTTCCTCAAAATCTTTTTTTGCTTTTCTTATTACATGTTTACACTTGATTTGACAGTGTTTATTGTTCCTTTCTATTTATCTCACTAGGATTGGACTTCCACTTCTTAAAAGATACCTTTTTGTCCCTCACTGCTTCTTTTACATGGTGGTTAAGCCACGGTGACTCTTTTTTAGGTCTCTTGCTATGTTTTTTAATTTGGGGGTATACATTTAAGTTGGGCCTCTATTATGGTGTCTTTAAAAAGTTTCCATGCAGCTTTCAGGGATTTGGCTCTAGTCACTGTGCCTTTTAATTTCTGTTTAACAAACCTCTTCATTTTTGTGTAATTCCCCTTTTTGAAATTAAATGCCAGGGTGCTGGACTGCTGAGGTGTTCTTCCCACCACAGGAATGTTGAATGTTATTATATTATGGTCACTATTCCCAAGCAGTCCTGTAACGGTTATATCCTGGACCTGATCCTGCACTCCACTCAGGACATATCTTGGATGTATAGCAGGGATGCCCCATACCTGTATTTGGGGGGGAAAAAAATGGGGAAACATGCCAAAACAAGCACTGCAGGCTATTCTCACCAATTCCTTGTCTCATCCTCCCAGTCTATCAATGCTGCTCACCTATCACCCAACAGTGCAGGATTTTGACACTAGGATCTGGAAGAGATCCAGTGAGTTATGGTACCCAAAACTCAAGAGTATGCAGCTGCTGAAAAACCTACCACTTAAACAGTCAGAGAGAGGCAAGTTAGTCACCATCAGCCTTAAATACACTAATAGTAACAATTGGATGGCAGGAATTTAGAGCGACATTTTGCAAAGCATATAAGCAACTTAGCCCATCAATATTCAATTGAATTGTGCTCCCATCTTTCTGATAAAAATCACAAGTTTGACTGCAACACTTAGTACCAACATCACATTCTGATTAAAAACTCAAATACAAAATGAACATGGCACACACGAAGTGGATTAAAGACTGGCTAATTAATCTAAAAAACTAATTGTAAATGACAAAACATTAAAATAGGTGTGTTTCTAGTGGGATCCTGTAGGAATTCTTTGTCCTAGGCTATTTTAATACCATTAGGAAGAAAACACAATCAGTGACAAAGTTTGCAGATGAGAAAGTGGGGGAGTAGTAAAAAAAAAGTGAAGAGAACAGACTTCTGATCAAGTACAATATGGCTCACGTAATAATCTGAGCACAAGCAAACAATGCATGTCAATATGGCTAAATATAGAAGTATACATCTACGTATCAGAACCTCCCTGGTCTGGCAGCTGCAAAACCTGAGCAATCCCGCACCAGGGAACTTGCCAGATCAGGGGAGGCCAATACCCCCTTGCTGGCTGCCCCACTGCCGGCTCCTTTCCTTGGGGCTTCCTACCCGGCTGCTGCCCCACTAACGCTGGCCAGCCAGGGATCCCTCCGGCTGCCCATCTCCACTCTGCCACAGCCAACGCCATGACACCGCTGCTGCCATGGCCACCCAGCCACTCTGGCCCCGCTGCCACTGGGGTTTCCCAGGGCTCCCCGGGCATTCCCTTGCCAGAGCTCCTTGGCCACCCCCATTGCCCTCATGGGTTTCCCAGGCTTCTCTTGCCGCTGCTGCCACCAGGCCTCCCCACCCCAGCCATCACCTCACGCCGCTGCCACCAAGGGGTTAAAAAAAATTCCCGTTGGAATTACAGATGTGCTTTTGTCCAAAAAGTAATTTTGGTGAAGTCCTATAGGCCAGGGTTATATAGGTCACAATTTTTAGTTCTGTTATCCAGACATATGTTGGGAAACTAACACAGCGGGGCACAGGCTATCCAATAAGTTTCTGGACTGCATTCGAGACAACTTTGTTTCAGAAGATTGAAAAAGCTACCAGAGAAGAAGCTGTTCTGGATTTGGTTTTAACAAATAGGGAGGAACTAGTTGAGAACTTGAAAGTGGAAGACAGTATAGGGGACAGTGATCATGAAATAATAGAGTTCATGCTCTTAAGGAAAGGTAGAAGGGAGACCAGCACAATTGAGGTAATGGATTTCAGGAAGGCAGATTTTGATAAGCTCAGAGAACTTGTAGGTAAGGTCCCATGGGAAGCAAGACTGAAGGGAAAAACAACTGAGGAGAGTTGGAAGTATTTCAAAGGGACGTTGTTAAGGGCCCAAAAGCAAACAATTCCGCTGTGTAGGAAAGATAGAAAATATGGCAAAAGACCAGCTTGGCTTAACAAGGAGATCTTGCACAATCTCAAAATAAAAAAGGAGTCATATAAAAAATGGAAACTAGGACAAATAACAAAGGATGAATATAGGCAAGCAACACAGGAATGCAGGGGCAAGATTAGAAAGGCAAAGGCACAAAATGAGATCAAACTAGCTACAGGCATAAAGGGAAACAAGAAGACCTTTTATAAATACATTAAAAGCAAGAGGAAGACCAAGGACAGGGTAGGCCCACTGCTTAGTGAGGAGGGAGAAGCAGTAACAGGAAACTTGGAAATGGCGGAGATGCTCAATGACTTCTTTGTTTCGGTCTTCACCGAGAAGTCTGGAGGTGTGCCTAACGTAGTGAATACAAGCAGAGAGAGGGTAAGTTTAGAAGATAGGATACACAAAGAACAAGTTAAAAATCACTTAGGAAAGTTAGATGTCAGCAAGTCACCAGGTCCTGATGAAATGCATCCCAGGATACTCAAGGAGCTGATAGAGGAGGTATCTGAGCCTTTAGCTATGATCTTTGAAAAATCATGGCAGACAGGGGAGATTCCAGAAGACTGGAAAAGGGCAAATATTGTGCCCATCTATAAAAAGGGGAATAAGAACAACCCAGGAAACTACAGACCGGTCAGTTTAACGTCTGTCCCAGGGAAGATAATGGAGCAGGTAATTAAGGAAATCATATGCAAACACTTGGAAGGTAATAAAGTGATAGGGAATAGCCAGCATGGGTTTGTGAAGAACAAGTCATGCCAAACTAATCTGATAGCTTTCTTTGATAAGATAACGAGCCTTGTGGATAAGGGAGAAGCGGTGGATGTCATATACCTAGACTTTAGTAAGGCATTTGATACGGTCTCGCATGATATTCTTATTGATAAACTAGGCAAATATAACTTAGATAGGGCCACGATAAGGTGGGTGCATAATTGGCTGGATAACCGTAGTCAGAGAGTTGTTGTTAACGGTTCTAAATCCTGCTGGAAAGGGATAACAAGTGGAGTTCCTCAAGGGTCTGTTTTGGGACCCATACTGTTCAATATCTTCATCAATGATGTAGATATTGGGATAGAGAGTACGCTTATTAAGTTTGCAGATGATACCAAACTGGGTGGGGTTGCAACTTCTTTGGAGGATAGGGACATAATTCAAAATGACCTTAGCAAGTTAGAGAAATGGTCAGAGGTAAACAGGATGAGGTTTAATAAAGAGAAATGCAAAGTGCTCCACTTAGGAAGGAACAATCAGTTCCATACATACAAGATGGGAAGCGACTGTCTAGGAAGGAGCATGGCAGAAAGGGATCTAGGGGTCATAGTGGACCACAAGTTGAATATGAGTCAACAGTGTGATGCTGTTGCAAAAAAAGCAAATATGATTCTAGGTTGTATCAACAGGTGTGTTGTAAGCAAAACTCGTGAAGTCATTCTGCCGCTCTACTCTGCACTAGTTAGGCCTCAGCTGGAGTACTGTGTCCAGTTCTGGGCGCCACATTTCAAGAAAGATGTGGAGAAATTGGAAAGGGTACAGAGAAGAGCAACAAGAATGATTAAAGGTTTAGAGAACATGACCTATGAAGCCAGGCTTCATGAACTGGGCTTGTTTAGTTTGGAAAAAAGAAGATTAAGGGGGGACATGATAGCGGTTTTCAAATATCTAAAAGGGTGTCACAAGGAGGAAGGAGAAAATTTGTTCCTCTTGGTTTCTGAGGACAGGACAAGGAGTAATGGGCTTAAAGTGCAGCAGGGGAGGTTTAGATTGGACATTAGGAAAAAATTCCTAACTGTCAGGGTGGTCAAATATTGGAATAAATTGCCAAGGGAGGTGGTGGAATCTCCCTCTCTGGAGATATTTAAGAACAGGTTAGATAGACATCTGTCAGGGATGTTGTAGACGGAGCTTGGTCCTGCCTTGAGGGCGGGGGGCTGGATTCGATGACCTCTTGAGGTCCCTTCCAGTCCTATGATTCTGTGATTCTATAACCTTGGGATCGATAAATAAAGCACACAGGTACTTCTGAAAATCCCATGCTTAGCCTTTATTGCTGAGACATCTTGCTAAGCTTTAGCAAATTTAATTTTGGGGGCTTTCATTCACTATTAAAAATTCACCTTTTTGCCTCTTAAAATAGAGGCAAGTATCAAAAATATTGTTTTAGACATACTTTAAGCAGGTCAAGTCATTCTGTATTTTAACGTGTTCAAAATGCCTGAAGTCAGATGCAACTGGATAAACTTTCTGAAAACTTTAAAAGTCTGTCACTTTAATCTTCCAATTAGGAATTTTTAACTGGTTAACCAATTCAGAGGGGACAGATGGGGAGGCCACTCCAATCCCACTCGAGTGACACCCTCCACCCCCACCCAGGCTAGAGCAGTCCCCCAGCTACAGACAAGGCCTGCTTAGGCCAGCTGATTGGCACAGCTCTGCCTACTCCAGTCCTTACCGGTTAACAATTCACATCCCTACTTCTATCACCATTAAATTGTGACACCAAAAGGTTTTAAGTTAGAAGAAAATACCTACAAGTCATAAAAGCAATTACTACTAATCCACAATTATTTAAAACAATCGTGTGTGAACTGGTAGTTATCTGAAAGTGTCAAGTGTTACTTGTGTCTTCAACAATCAACTATCCAGCACATAAATATAAGAGACTATGTTGTGCGTTAACAGAAAAAAGTACAAAACACTGACTAAAATACAAATAAAGCAAAGAGATCAGCTTCACAATATAGGTGAATATGAAAAACATACACCATCTTGGTGACTAAGAGTTAAGGATAGTGTTTAGAACGGGGATGGGCCGGAGGTTAAATTGTCCAGAGCGGAAAACTGCAGAAAAATAATAAAAGACTTCATTACTGCAAATAAAATATCCACTGTTATTTTTCTGCAATTTTCCACGGCTTGTTTGCAACTCAGCTTCAAATTGACAATCATTCCACAATTCAAATAGAGCCTTAAATCATTTATAAAAACTAATTTTGACATACAAGTTCAAGTTGACAGCAAAAACAAACCAAGTCAAACAGTCCACTGCAGATAACCCTGAAGTTTAAGTACTATCAGATATGTTCTACAATTCACTAGCAAATAAAAAGAAGTGAAAACAGGAAGTGTAGTCAAGCAAAAGCAAGCTAGAAAAAAATGCTCTGATATTGATGAGTGTGGGTAAATGAACTAGAATTCTGGAGAGGAGTTTCATTTTTTTAAACACTTCATTTAGTGAGTCCATAAAAGCAACATGGTTTGAGGCTAACCTATTAAAATATCATAAGGATGTAATGAAACATTCAGAATTCAAGAACCTAGCGATAGGAAGAATGCTAAGTGAAAGAAGAGGTGAAAAGCTGCATGGATTCCTATTTGGATTAACCATAGCAGTTTGTTTCAAAAACTAGAGAGGACTGCATGCACAGGTGTATGCGCACATTGTTGATTTTTTCTATATAAACTGCTCCCTTGTACACAAGACATCAAACTACCAAATCCCACCATACTAACCAAAGAAAAGTGTATATGAAAACACAAACATCTACATATACACATTTGTCATGGTCAGTACAACATGATTTGATATTTTGGGGTCTTACATTTCCATTTAAAGGCTCTTCTAGAGTAAGTTGAAAATCACCATCAAGATCCTTATTAGGAATGTTAAAATATTTATTTTTGTGAAGGTGTAACTGCTAAATTTTCAGTGGTTTCATGTTTACACACAGGAGGCGGCGGGGGTACAGAGCAAGAGCACACACAAGCTGCCCCTCCATGCAACAGCCTCTATGAGAAGCAGCAGCAGCAAGGGAGAAGGCAGGTGGCTCCGTGGGAGTCTGCACCCAGGGGGAGGGAGAGTACGTGTGCTGCATTTAAACCATGTACACGATACAGGTTCGCAACCCTAATCCTTATGTTTATGCTTGAGAGTTTTATCCTGGAACAATTTTTACTATGTTTATATTATAGCAGCATCCTAGAACAACTCACACAGCCCTGCTCCCACCATTCTGAAGCCTATGTCTACACTTACCGATACCAGGACAAGCCATCCTTCACCAATGAAGGCCAAATAAAAAATACAAGTCCACCTATTTCAAATAAACATATTCAAGTTTATATAAGACCCTTTCTTTATTATCTTAAAGGATAATATAGGATAAACAAGTTATGAGGAGAGAGCTTAAGCGCCCCCCCCCCAAAAATTTTTTAAAATTAGTAACAATTCTGCCCAGAAATTTCAGAGACCAACTAGTACAAAATCATCATACAAATTTAAAATAAAGGATAGTTTCAAAAAGTCTGAATTCAGGCTTCCACGCTTGCCATTAAAAAAAAAACACGCTTGCTTAAAAGACTTGATACCTGCAGAACAGAAGAAAACAAACAGTGCAATTCCACAAGAATTTAAGGTTTACCGCAAACAGTGATTTAAAATGCAGGCCTACCTTGCTGTACCAATTGAGGCAGGGCTGGACCACATCTGGATCATCAATGCCATTCAGTTCAACATACCAGATACTAAAATTGAAACTGGGCCCCCATGACAACAATGGAACTGGAGGGAGGAGAAGGTGGGGGGAAAAGAAATAGAAGTACATAAATGTCAAATACTTGCTGGATTATTGATCAGACTTACAACACTTATTTGAAAGGAATGCATTTTCAGCCTAAGGAAAACGATTTAACAAGAATAATATTCTCTTCCTATACACACAAGTTTTTGATTGATTATTTATAGGGTTAGGTCATTTACTAGACATACATCATACTAACTTAAAAAAAGAATAAAAGATCCTGTAGCACCTTAGAAACTAACAAAAAGTACTGATAGTATCGTGAGTTCTCTCAGGCATAACCCACTTTTTCAGATGAAGGGAGCAAGGGGCCCAGAGGTACAAATATACAGCAGAAAAAAGGGAGGGGAGGGAGGAGAAACACCTGCTAAATGAGGCTAATAGAGTGGGCTGTAAGTGCCTAATAGTCAATACCCAAATGACATCAAAAGCTATTGGCCCAGCCAAGCAATTTCTCTGTTCAATCCCTGGGTAAATGTGTCAAATTTGCATATGAAGGTCAGTTCCACAGTCTCTCTAGCTGGTTCCTGAAATTACTTCGCAAGAGGATAGCCACTTTTAAATCCATTAATGAGTGCTCTGAGCCCCTTGCTCCATTCATTTAAGAAGTGGGTTGTGCCCATGAAAGCGCATGACACTATCTGTACTTTGTTAGTCTATAACTAGAAAAACTTAACAGTCATGTAGCACCTTAGAGACTAACATGGCTGAGACTTAATCATATTAAGCAGTCACTGAAAACAGCCTGCAGTGGAAAAGCAGATTAAGATAGCAGATCTTTAAGTAGACACTTGTACACAGGTAGACAAAAGTAGGGTCAAAATACTGGATCAACCGCTCAAATGGCCAATGGGTTTTGACACTGATGGACATTATCCAGGGAAACTGAAGGCAGTACATGATACTTAAAGCGTATGGTTTACTTCATTTTTGCCAGCAGTAGAAACATCATCCCTGGTTAAGGAAGAGGATATTGGGTTGTGGGGTTCTCCCTTCCCCCGTTTACATGATTTGCAACCAGCACAGGGCTCCTCTTGTGCCCTCACGCCAAGTCTGGGCAAACAATACAGATACCGGATTTTTTTTGCCCTACAACGCAGACAGCACTTGTAAGAACAAAGGATGTTAGATATGGATTCATTTAATAATCGTGTAACCGCATCAAATTTGAAGCGATTACTCAATTATTTAATAGTTCCCAGGAGCAGGGCTGGCAGTCAGTGTGCTGCTGGCCTCACTCTTGGGAAGCACCTTGCCACTCCACACTGCTACCCCTATATCAGCGGCAGCAGCGTGGGGTGGCCAGGAATCCTACCTGCAGACTCATGCTGCAGCCTCTGTATCAGGCAGCTCTCCTGCACACTCTTCATTTAAAACTCTGACCGGTGGGAGGTGTGTTGCAACTAACCGGGACTGATAGCCAACTAGCCACTAACTGATTGCTTAACCATTTAACCAATAACATCCCTAGCCACTTCGCAATGCAGAATTTGCACAAAGTTCCTGTTTCCCCTATGGAATTAGTGGTAACCAGCAGCTCCACACTAAGCGCTGCTGGACTCTACAGTAAGCAGAGCACCCAGCCTGGCACGGATGGAGTGTCTGCATGCTTTGGATGCCTGGCTTGATCCTCCTCCTCCCAGGGAAAGGAGGGGGCCAGGAGAACTAGTTTGACAAAAGGGTGAGGAAGGACAGGGCTGCACAACATCATATTCCCCAATAGGTCAATAAAGAAGGTGGAGGAAAATAAAGGCTCTGGGAGTGTAGGTATCTGGACCAGGGAATGTCCTGCAACTCCACTCTGGGAGAATGAGAATTGCGAGTTTTTGTGGGCGTGCCATGTGTGTGGGTTCCAGGGAGAGGGGAAATGCAGATCTGAGATCTGGGGGTGCTATGCAGACCTCCCTGTAATACCTCAAGAGCAACTGGGTTGTTGTATGGATTTCTTTAACTCTGCTCCTAGGGAATCTTTATCTGTATTGCTGACACACTTAATGGGGATTTTGAAATAAATTACCAAAATAATTGAATGGAGTGATTAGTGTGTTATTTTGACATCTACAATATGAAGAATTTAAAGATAGTGTGCAAAATTTTTTGGTGCATCATTCCCCCAGTAGTAATGGCACTATGCTCCAACCCACAGCAAAACAGACCTGTGGATGGAAGGTTAAGGAATAAATAGTATGTGCTATGACATCACTGGATTAAAATATGACCACATGGATCATTGTTTTTGCTGCAACCACTGTTAAATATTTGCAGCAAATGTTGTACAAAGGTTGTCAAGTGATAGGTCTATGAAAAGGTTATGATTTGCTGGTTGTGATTATGTTATTTGTATGCGTGTATCTTTTTTGTATTTAAAAATGAATATTGACTCTCTACCTGATTTCAAGTGTTTGATCCCAAGGTAGCACCCATAAAGTAATTAACCAGCACTTACTGGAAGGACTATTCAAGTGGAATGGCTCATTTAAAGGACACAACTCACAATGAACCAAAGAAGATGCCCATCTGTACTGAATGGGCTTTCATGTGAACGTTTAAACTGGAATGCGAGTAATGGCTTCTGCTGTGACTAAGCAAAACTATGCATGGGCATGTGACTTCTTGTTACTGTAGCTTCACATTAAGAACAAATGGGATTCCTTCCAGGTGGCAGAAGATATGAAAAGGCCCTGGGAACATCTCCATTTGGCCACTTTCCTGCTCCAACTTCTCTATCTCTTAAGCCTCTGGACTATGGACTTATAACAAAGCGACTGATTTGGAAGTAATCAGAGACTTAAGTTAAGACAGGAGTTTATTCGATCCCTACTACAAGCCTCAACCAAGAACTCTGAAATTGTTATATGCAGGGCTCGACGACTGCAGCGAAAACCCACTCACGCACTGCCGGTGAATGGGGTGACGGGCTGGCTCGCCATGGGCGAGTAGATAAGCGGATTTGTTGAGCCCCGGTTATACGTATGAGACTCAACCTATTTCAATTCTTATCCTCTTTCCTTTTTACAAATAAGCCTTGAGATTTTAGATACTAAAGCCGTGGTCACCAACCAGTAGATCGCGATCTACCGGTAGCTCTCAGGGGCTCTAAGAGTAGCTCGAGCCCTCTCTGAACTGCGCACCTGCGCAGTACATTTACATTCGATTTCCTCATTTGAGGAGCAGCTACTCACCGAGCAACACAACACAGGTGAGTAGCTGCGAGGAATGGGGGGAGCTGGGAGGTTGGGAGGGCTTAAACACTCCAGTCAGCTGACTCTGGCTTTCAGCTGAAAGAGGCTGCCCCATGCTCCAGATGATCGACGGCTTCTCCTCTGCGCCTGCCCACGTGGAGCTTGGTGCATCCTGGCTGAGCGCCATGGCCAGCTGGCCAGGCAGCCACTTCTCTTCCCTCCAGCCCAGCTGCCCTGCGCTCAGGCCAGGGAGGCTGAGTCTAGCTCCAGCTGTGCTGGAGCAAGCTTCCCAGGCTGAGCGCAGGATCACAGATGCCCATCTGATGGACTGTATACGACTAGCAATCTCAGACTACAACCCAGACTTCAAGACACTGGCAGATACTGTTCAGTCACAGGTGTCACACTGAGATTTTGTTATTGGAAGAAAAAATATAAAATCATCAATACTTGATTTTAGATTTACAAAATAGCAGAGAACAAAATGTATAATTGTAAATGCTTCATTTGACATTTAAATAGCATGAATTAAAAACAGACCATTTATTTCATAACTATAAACGTGATTTTAATTTTATATATTGCATAATTAAAAAATAAACTTTAACAGAGAGTATAAGGGCTGGGGATAGCAAGTGATGGACAGGAGAACAGAGAGGGCAGGCTTCAAGGAAGGGGCGGGGCGGTAGATCTTAGTCTGTTCTGAGACTTAAAAAGTGATCTTGGGTGTAAAAAGGTTGGAGGACCACTGTACTAAAGGATTATCAATAGCATGATTTAGGATGAAATTTAAGTTATATATTGACCTGAGTCCTTTGGGATCAGAAGAACCTTTATTAACTGGGGACACTGGTTTTAGATGGAATACGTCTGGTGGTGAAACAAATGAACTGAGTATCTGAGGGATCTGCTTTTATGACTTGTTAGCCGTGTGGTGAAAAATTTGGTACACCTTATAAGTTGAGGACCATCAGTCTTGGGCCATGACTGCCTTTTTCTCAGTAGTTTGTCCTTAACTGAATACTCTCAGTAGCTTCCCATGGAAAATCACCTTTTATTCCTCCATTTAGAAAATGTGAACCACTGCATAATGTTATGAAACTCGGAGACGGTCCTCAATTTCAAGGGTACAGTAAGACAACTTTGGGACCTAAACTATTTAATTTCCCCCCTCACTCCCTGTATGTGTGTTTTCCCTGACAGGTGACGACTTCATGCTCTCCAGCCATGAAAGTGGCCAAAAAGGGGTATAGGCGAGCACAGCCCACTAGAAGCTCTTTTTCACTGGTTTTACACTTTAAAGGAAAACTGACATTTCTTCTTAGGAACAGCAAAGGATGCCAAAACTGAATGCAAAATTTGAACAGCAGATCTGTAGGCAGACATAATATGAATAAAATGTAATGCTGTACATCTATAGCATTTAGTTGTGTTAATGATACAACAAAAGCCAAGACAAAGAACTCTACACTCAAGCTGCAGCACAATTGTGCAATTACAATTAGCTGTTTAAGCTGAGATTTCACTTCCTGTCCTAAATAGTTTCGTTTTTCAACAAATACTTATTGGTAGTTCCATGAACTCCATACAGGAAGCCAAACATACCAAGTCAACATAGTACACTATGTTTAGAGATTGGGGGGAATTTTCAGTCCAAAATCATTGACTGAAAATGTGTTTTCTGGAAATTTTAGATAGAAATAAAGGGAAACAAGAAGACTTCTTAATAGATTAGAAGCAAGAGGAAGACCAAGGATGGGGTAGGCCCACTGGTCAGTGAGGAGGGAGAAACAGTAACA